AGTGCCATGGCATCATGCTCACAGCAACCTCCAACTCCTGGGCTCAAGCGAGTCTCCTGCCTCAGCCTCCCAAGTAGCTGGGACTATGGGCGCCCACCACAATGCCTGGCCATTTTTTGGTTGCAGCTATCATTGTTGTTTGGCGGGCCCAGGCTGGGGATTCGAACCTGCCACCTTAAGTGTATGTGGCTGGCCCCTTAGCTGCTTGAGCCACAGGTGCCAAGCCACATTAAAAACTTTTAAATGGCGATGTCGGGATTCAGGTAGCTGCACTCTCGCTGGCGGGCATGTGGCAGAATCTGAAAGGCCATAAAATATACACCTCTGTGGGTCCTCACAAGGAGTCAGCCTGAGGACGTGGCGTGAGCAAGTCCCATACACACCGTAGCCAGAGCATTTCCCAGAAAAACACATCAGCTCAAAAACACACCTGCTCACAAACATTCACAGCAGCCCTAGTCACAGTCACCAGCAGGTAAAACCACCTAGAAGCCATCAATAGATGAACAGGTGAGCCACATGTCGGCGCTCTGGGAGTAGAGGAGTTTGAGACCAGCCTAGGCAACACAGACCCTTGTCGCTCCAAAAAAAAAAAAAATAGAAAAATCAGCTGGTGAGCAACACCTATGGCTCAAAGGGGTAGGGCGCCAGCCCCCACATACTGGAGGTGGCAGGTTCAAACCCAGCCCCCAGCCAAAAAAAAAAAGAAAAATCAGCTGGGTGTTATGGCAGAAGGATCAATAGGCCCAGGAATTTGAATTTCCCATCGGCTATGATGATACCCTATACTCTAGTCTGGACGACAGCAAGACTATGTCTCAAAAAAAAACAAACAAACAAAAAAAAGGGCTAAGGCACCAGCCACATACACCTGAGCCGGCTGGTTCGAATCCAGCCTGGGCCTGCCAAACAATGACAACTGTAACCAAAAAATAGTCAGGCGTTGTGGCAGGCGCCTGTAGTCCCAGCTACTTGGGAGGCGGAGGCAGGAGAATCGCTTGAGCCCAGGAGTTGGACGTTGCTGTGAGCTGTGATGCCATAGCAACTCTACCCAGGGAAACAGCTTGAGTCTCTGTCTCAAAAATAATAATTGTTGTTATATGAATTTCACCTCAATGAAATGAGATGGACAAAATCCTGAGCTTGGACCATGTCACTCCTGAGCTTAAAGCTCTGCCTGTCTTGTTACTTCCCATTGCCTACAAAATAAACCTGAATCTGAAATACCAATCAAGCCAGCCCCTGGCCTGCTCCCCAGCTACCGCCCTCTATGGCGCCTTGTCACTGCCGGAGTGTGCACGGCCGGCAGCACAGCCCTGCTGTGCTGTGCCTTCGCCAGGCAGGCCAGGCCAGCAGGTAGCCCTGGAAGGTGAATGTGGATGGAGCTGAGGAGCCTAGTCTTGGGGCCATGCACCAGGAACCTGCCATCTGTGTCTCTTTCAAGGAGGCATCTTGTGGCTAGAGGACAGTGTGTTCTGAGTGGCAGTCACACTCCAACCCAGGATGACTGTCAGAAAGCAAGGGAGTAGGGATCCAGAGGTACCCTGGGGCAGGTCTCGGTACCTCTTGTTTTTGTATCAATAAAGCTCTTCTACACTTTTTTTTTTAGAGACAGAGTCTCACTTTGTCACCCTTGGTAGAGTGTTGTGATCACAGCTCACAGCAACCTCCAGCTCTTGGGCTTAGGTGATTCTCTTGCCTCAGTCTCCCGAGTAGCTGGGACTACAGGCGCCTGCCACAACACCTGGCTATTTTTTTATTGCAGTTTGGCCAGGGCCGGGTTTGAACCCACTACCCTCCATATATGGGGCTAGTGCCCTAACTCACTGAGCCAAAGGCGCTACCCCACACTTTACTGATATAACTTCATCACCATCTTTTAAAAGTGAGCTGTTGTTTTCAGCATGTTTACGAAGCCTAGCAGCCACCACCAATTCCAGAGCATTTTCTTCTCCCTAGAAAGAAACCCCATACCCTTAGCAGCCACGCCCACTTCCCCAGCCCCAAGCAACCACTAAACTACTTTGTTTTTGTTTTTGTTTTTGTTTTTTTTTGAGACAGAGCCTCAAGCTGTCCTCCTGGGTAGAGTGCCATGGCATTACAGCTCACAGCAACCTCCAACTCCTGGGCTCAAGCGAGTCTCCTGCCTCCGCCTCCCAAGTAGCTGGGACCACAGGCGCCCGCCACAACGCCCGGCTATTTTTTGGTTGCAGCTGTCATTGTTGTTTGGCGGGTCCGGGCTGGGGATTCGAACCCGCCACCTTAGGTGTATGTGGCTGGCGCCTTAGCCGGTTGAGCTACAGGCGCCGAGCCCACTAAACTACTTTGTTGCACTGGAGTTACCATTTATGGACATCTGTAAGAACAGAATGGGGGTTACCTGTTCTGTTCTAACATCAGTATGAACCAAATCAGGGTTACGTGTTCTCGACATCTGTACGAATGGAATTGGGATTCCCTGTTCTAACATCTGTATGAACGGGATCTGGGGTTACCTGTTCTGTTCTAACATCTGTATGAATGGAATCAGGGTTACATGTTCTCGACATCTGAACGGAATCGGGGTTACCTATTCTGGACATCTGTATGAATGGAATCTGGGTTACCTGTTCTGACATCTGTATGAACAGAATTGAGGTTGCTGTATGAAAGGAATGGGGGTTACCTGTTCTGGACATTTGAATGAACAGAACTGTGCATGTGAGCCACTTTGGATCCTGGGTATGATCCGTGCTTTGCCAGGCACATTTCCCAGGTGCATCCATGCTGGGCAGGGGCCAGCACCATACTCCTTCCCATACTGGGCAGTGCCCACAGGGCGGGTGTGTGGTGTTCTGTTTGCCACTCCGTCAAGGCCCTTAAACCAGTAGCTTTGGCTGTTAGGAGAACCAATGTGATGAATGTTTTCATCCCTCTTGGGTGTATACCTAGATCTGGGGGTTTATAGCGTCACTCCAAGTTTAACCATTTGAGGAGCTTCTAAAGTGGCCGCACTATTCACATCCCCCCAGTACCACAGGAGGGTTCCGATTTTGGTAACACTTGGGATTAATCTGACTCTTTGTTTCTAGATGTCCTTGGGGATACAAAGTGGGTCTGACTTGCATTTCCATGACAAGGGGTGTTATGGAGCACTCTTCAGACACTCAGACATCTTCACTGGACAGATGTCTATCCAGACCCCTTGCTTGCCTTTTAATTGGGTCATCTTGTTAGAATTTGTAAGAATTCCTAACTTATCTCTTCTCTATTTTTTTATTTTTCTGTGGTAAAATACTTTTATAATAACAAGAAAAAAAAGAAAACTTATCTGGGACAGAAAAAAGTCCCAGATAACAGAGTCTTTTTGGGCTCAGCGCCCGTAGTACAGAGGTTACAGCGCCAGCCACATACTCCAAAGTTGGTGGGTTTGAACTGGGCCCAGGCCAGCTAAACAACAATGACAAATGCAACAAAAAATAGCTAGGCGTTGTGGCAGACGCCTATAGTCCCAGCTAATGGAGGCTGAGGCAAGAGAATTGCTGAAGCCCAAGAGTTTGAGGTTCTATGAGCTGTGATGTCACAGTACTCTACCAAGGGCAACATAGTGAGACTCTGTCTCAAAAAAAGAAAGAAAAAAAAGTTTTTCTTTTGGGCAGAGCTTTTTTTTTAGAGACAGTCTCACTTTGTTGCCCTTGGTAAAGTGCCATTGCATCACAGCTCACAGCAATCTCCAACTCCTGGGCCTAGGCAATTCTCTTGCCTCAGCCTCCCATAGGCACCCGCCACAACGCCCAGCTATTTTTTGTTGCACTTTAGCTGGGGCTGGGTTCGAACCCACCACCCTTGGTATATAAGGCCATCACCCTAGTCACTGAGCCACCAGCACCACCCTCTCGGCAGAGCTTTGAAGCCCAAAGTGAAAACAGCCAAAAACATCAGTCCCCACTGCCTGCACTGGTGGACATGGCTATTTTGCCCCTCAGGGCTGGAGGTTGAAGATCACCACTGGAGCCCTGCCCTCCAGCCCCCACACTGCCCACATCACTAGCCACAGCCTAGCCCTGGCCAGAGCTTATGGAGGCCCAGGTTGCATGGCGTACCCATGGTGGCAAGGCCTGGCAAGGCCTACCCCCCAGTGGTACTGACCAAGGTATGCAGGGCAGGCTGGTACAGAAGGGGCCCGGGGCAGAATGGGGTAGAGGACCAGTTAGGGGCTCACCCTGCAGGCAGAGGGCCCCCATAAAGGTGAGGATGGGGGTGGGCAATGGGCAAGGCTAGACGGAGGGGCATTAGGCCCTGTCCTCCCCCCTGCCCTTACCTACCACCACCAGGGGCCCACCCCCAC